GAGGGGCTGCGGGGAATGTCCGCCAGGCGGCGAGTAGGAGCGGCAGCAGAGGGCCAGCAGAGTGGCTGGGGGGAACGACCGGCAAGTGGATGGTAGGAGCAGCGGCAGGTGCCCAGCGGAGCAGCTGGTGGGAGCAACCAGTGGGCTGCAGGGGCAGCACACAGGTGGTATTACATCAGGCTCTATGAGGGAAGTCGTCAGGGTGATGTGTCTGGGTCTGCACTGACTGGACTGAGCTGTAAGTGGGGGTGTTTGAAGCAGGGTTGGACTAAAGACCTCTTGGAAAACGACTTCACCCTGCAGACCTTGGGGATGGTAGCTTGCTCACAGGTTGTTTGTGTTAGGGGGTTTTCACTGTTTGTGTGGTCTTGTGGGTTGATGCTTGCCTACTGTGATTAAACAGACTTTTCTATGTCTGACTCAGTGCTTGCGAGAGGGGAAGAATTGCCTCTAAAGACACCCAATGGGTAGGTTAGAATTTTCCCAGTTTACTGGGTGGGGGCTAATGCCAGTTTGTCACCTTGTTGAAGGGACCCTCCCCCCCGCAGACATTGAACCTGGCCCTTCTGGTTGCTGACTGGTACCAGCCGAAGGGTTACATATATAATGCTAAGGATTCTGAAAAAACAGATTCAAGGCCTCGGAAACTGGACACCAAATGAGTGGATACTTTTGGCCTTAAAATGCCTAGGCTTCCGTTCCCCAGCAGTGAAACAGGCACAAGATCTGCTCACCTCACAAGGCTTAGAAATGTATGTAATGTTTGTGAATCATTTGGATGAGCACCACAGAAATGCCCATAAGAAAATGAATAATTCCATCTGGAGAGCAAGGTTTGAACGGCGTGCAGTTCATAAAGCCTGGGGCCACACACAGAATGAGAAAAAGTAGCTGCTCATTCAGACTGCACCATACAGTTTGCCTACTGAAAGAGGCAGGAGTCCTGTGGAAAAAACGGCATTGATCATGTAATTAAAGACTGTATAACAATGCATACATGCAGGGGGGAAATCAGAGTTGCGTGGGATGCCCTGGAATAGTGAAAAGGGAACTTAGACTGGGCAGACTTTCAGATCTGTGATACGCAGTAGGAAATAAGGGTCTGACTGAAGTGCAAACAAACACCCGCGGCTGGCTGATTCTAGCTAATGGCGCTCAGGCTAAGGGGTTATTTAATTGCAGTGTATATGTTTTGGCATGGACTGGAGCCCAAGCTCTAGGATCCAAGTTCAAATATATATACTACAATTAAACATCACTTCAGCCCAATCCCGAATCAGTTGACATGGGCCATTTGTACATTTTTAATTGCGATTGGGACATAAGCTAATGGATTAACTCCTCCAGTTTTACACACACAGTTCACAATTATAAACTCATCGCTAACTTCCACATTCTCTCTTTGGTGGGCAAAAATAGCTCCTGCTAACCTCATTTAGTGTAAAACACAGGCACAGAGTGGAAGATGGATCCTAAGGAATAGTAGAGCAGTCAACGCAGAATCATCTCATTAAGCACAACTGATAAATCCAGCAAAAATATTAGCTGTGAGCTATGGAACATTACCTGAAAACAGACCTGCTATGTTCCACTTACTTTTCCACTATTTTTAAAGCTATTTTTTAAGTCTCTGGGCCCCCTTCTGTTTCCAGTTATACTTGTATACAAGTGGAGTAACTTTATAGAAATAGTAAGTAATGGTCTATAGAGTTACTCCAGATCTATATCACTGTGAGAGAGCATCAATTCACACCTGTGACTTTGCTGTTGAGGATTTTATTCTGTGTATATTTCTATGTTACGGAAAATATTCAATCATTATTTTCTTCTGTCTTCTTTATTCTATTTGTCTCTGCTTGAAAGCCCGAGTTAAGTGATTTTGTCTAAAGTATATATTTAAACAAATTTCATGACCATAGGACCGAAGCCACAATTTGTAAAATTCATATCGGGGAGAGGATTTTCTTTATGTTCTATGGAAATAATTAAATGTATATGGTTGCGAAGTTGTTAATGAAAATTAACACTTGTTAGGGACACATTTAAAAAAAGAAGTTTCACTGGTGGGTCTAAATGACTGAAATAGGCTACATGCCGAACATGGCTGGCAACGCTGAGCCTTCTTTCTGGTGACTAACCACAAAAGTACTGAAGAGTGATATGGCGAGGCCTGGAAAGAGTAGTCGGGATTTCATGCAAGGGATAAAAAGCAAAAGCCAATTTCCTCCCTGCTCTGATACTAGGTTTAAAAAAAAAATCAGTGGAATATTATTGTTAAACCATTCTGTAAACTTTTTCTCTCTTAAAGATGGAGGAATTAAAGGAATGTATTACAGGGAACTAACTGTATTGTTTATTTAAGGAGTGTGTGAAAGACACACATGGCTCCAGCCTCAGTTTACCAATCCACAGGCCTCTTTTTGCAATAATTTACAAAGGATTGTTTACTGCAGTAGTTTCATTTAAGACTATTAATGAAACTCCAACCAAAAGTAAAAACTACATTCTGTAGTCAGTGTTTGTAAGGCTTTATTCATATCAGAAAAGTTGGAATGGTAAACTAAATTCATCTACCTACACCATTGGCAAGCTCTAATGTAGACACACATAAGATTTACTTCAATTAGTTTATTTACTTCAATTAGTTTACCATAATACAATAGTGTAACATATTAAGATAAACCAATTTAAGCAAATTTGAATCTGATTTAAGTGTCTTCATTAGGAACTTGTACTTATATAACTAGGTAGGTTTTAAACCTATCTAGTTACACTAGCACAACTTTCTAATACAGGCACGCCTAAAAGTTTAGGTGTTGAATCCTCTGGCCTGGATTATGTCCTTAAGTACCTTACTATATTATGACTGTAGTGCTCAGTACCTGTCAGACAGTCTTAATAAAGTTACTGGGTGCAACACTTTGTTAATCCCTTTTAATTAATTTTTCTCATTTCATTTTAGTAACTTTAACTTTAGAGCTACTAAAATAATTGAAGAAAGATTTGTTTTGGGAGCAAATTGAAGAATTTTTTCTAACATAGGGACTCCAACCTATCATTGTCAAAAATATTTTTCAGCATATATAATCTTCCAGTTAAAGACTAATTAAAATGAGCATTTAATCTAAAAGCCAACGATGCTTCTCCCCTTGTGAATGCTGCTCTAAGAAAAATTATGGCACGCTGTTTCCGCCACTTTAAAAATGTGTATGGAGTTACAACAAGGTACAGAGTTACAATGTGTACAGAGAATACAAGGTTACCTGCTTTCTGACACTGAACAATCTTGTCATGAATGGTGTCTGCTGTCTCAATAAGAAACCTGCTCTCCTGTATCATCTGTCAGAAAACAAATGAAAACCAGGTTGCTATTACCAGGCTTTAGTTAAACATCTAGCTCTCAGACAAGTATTAAGAAGGTACAATTTCAAAAGAGCTCTTCTCTGTAAGTAAGACTAAGAAGATTGTATCAGTCATTCATATCAGATCTCCAGTTCTGAGTCAAGGTAAATGACAGTTGCTCAAGAAATGTTTGTCACAGAACAGCTGTTTTACATCAGTTAGACATAATTTAGAGCAACATAAAGGAAACACAAGTAGTGACAACAGAGAACCAAGATAGCAACCACTACCTTAAATCCATGACTGCATTTGAAAATGAAGCCTTTCTGTGTTTATTAGAAACAAAACTCACTTTTTCAGATGAGATGAGCTTGACTGGAGAGAAAAAAAGGGAACCCTCACAATAAGCTGGGAGAGGGAGGAAAAAAAGTACCTGTCAATTGTAGTGCGAGGGTTTTTTTTTTTTATTTGCATGAAATCAAAGAATTAGAATTATGGCCTTTCAGAATAAATACATAGCAAAAAACATTTCTTTACCCCATAAAAGCCCTGAGTCAGGAAGGAATTCAAACCTATGTATAACTTTAAGACTTGAGTAGTCCACATACACTCACTGTTTGTGTCTTTCTTTGGAGGAATTTTGAGGATAAAGTCCACTGCTCAGGCTCAACCATAGTACTCAAAAACACGGCTACCCCTCTGATACATAGTACTCAAGCGTCAAAAAGATTTAAGAGATAAAAATAATTTACGTCAGTGGACCTACTCATACGTTTAAAGTTATACATGTTTAAGCTCCTTTCTGGATCTGGATGGTAAGAGTTAAATATTTAAACCAACTTCCATCAGTCATGTAGCAAATGCTCGAAGCTTTACTTCTTGCCATCTTCAATGAAACTGCATTTCTTCTTTCATGCTTGCAAACTTTCCAAAAAGTTACAAAAGCCCAGTAAAGCAATAGAGTTGTTTTAAAACTAACTTTTGAAAAATTGTGAGATGTATCTCTGTTACAGGAAGGAAGAACATGTAGAAAGATAAAATACATATGCTTGATTATAATTCTTCTCTTTCTTGTATAAATCAGAAGTAATGCCACTGAAGCCAATGGAGTTAAAACAATATAAAGATGATATAAATGAGATTAGAAACAAGCTGATAATTTCATAGTTTTACTTCCTCCTGTTACATAAATTATGACACGCAAACTAAAAATGCTGCGAATGCTTTTTTTTAAAATTCCTGTGTTCAACTGTGAAATACAAAAGCATGTATGTCCTGACATCAGTTATGTGGACTACTCAAGTCTTAAACTTATACATAGATTTAAATGCCTTCCTGACATCAGTGAGAACCTTTCTCCTGAGGTCAGCAGACAAAGAATCGGGACTTTACAGAGAGACTGAACCACCAAACCTTCCCTGTTCCTCTCATTCTACACTATCCCATGCAGCACAAAATCTCACTTTCACAGCATACATGAAGCATCTGAGTATTCCATGCCTTTTAGAGCTGCACAGACCATTAAGTATATAACCCAGCATATGGGGGTAATTCACAAGTATGATTTAAGGAAGTTGTTTTGTCAAATAAAGCCTGTGGTCAACATGAAACCAAGCACTCTCTAGAGCTGAGAGAATATTACTTGTATATTAAAAATATTTAATTATTTCAAATATGAAAAACAATTGGCCTTACGCTCCTTTAGAATTAATAATATGCTGAATAAGACTAAATATATCATAAAATTTAATATGTATCCCAAAAGCAGGAGACAAAAAGGCTGGGGAAATTGCAGAGTTAAGTTTCTTTTAGAAATAACAAAAAAAAATAATAATAATTCGTACTCCAGTCTTGCCTAAAAGCTTATATCAGGAGGGTGACCAGTTGTGGTAGGCAATGTACAAACACAAAGTATGACAGTCCTTGCCCTGAGCGGTTTATAATCTAATGTAAGAGAAGACACAACGAGTGGGTGTAACCAACAGTAGGAAGCACTTGAGAAAGAGAACAAGAGAAACAATAAGAATCCACATTTACATAGGCCAGATACATGCACAGCTAGATTTTGCCAAAAGGGACGCTTGCACCAAATTCATCTTTGACAGTGAGATGATTGTGACCCCAAAGATGTTGAAATACAATATAGCTCATTTCAGCAACAGAAGAATGTTTAAAATGATTTAAAAGATATAAGTAATGTATTATTTGTTAATGTTTCAGTTAGCAGTTGGTCTGAATTAAAATCATGGTGGCCCCAAACTTAACAACTAACTCCTAACTATCATGTGCTGTGCCTAAATCCAGGATGCGCAAGTCCCAATTGTTTGCATTGCGTTGTGATGTATTTGCATAGAGATGTCTAATTCAATATATCTCTGCTTTGACAGACACGAACCAACAAGGAAACAATATGCATTACTCCCTGAGGGTATGTCTACACTGCAAAGTTAATTTGAAATAACAGCCGTTATTTGCATTTATACATGCAAACCGCTATTTCAAATTTAATTCGAAATAGTGGAGCGCTTATTTCGAATTTGGTAAACCTCATTCTATGAGGAGTAACGCCAAATTCGAAATAGCTATTTCGAATTAAATGCTGTATAGACACTTAATTCAAAAGGGGGCCTCCAGCCCTTCCCAGGGAGCCCTGGTGGCCACTCTGGGCACAACCAGGAAAACTCTTCTCCTCTCCCCAGGCCTGGAGCCCTTAAAGGGGTAGACTCTGGCCACACACCATATGCCAGAGCCAGGCCTGCCAGCAGCCGCAGCCCCTCACCCAGTGGCCGCACAATGCCATCATACCATGGACCGCAAGGGACAACGGCACACCCAGGAGCAGGTGCTCCTCAAAGTCAAGGAGCCGTGACTGGTGTACGCCAGGGCCACCAGGGCAGTGTTGAATCAGGGGCTGACCCCTGCCCCTACTTCTCCGCCCTCGACCGAATCCTGGATGCAGGCGGTCCACGCCAGCCCGGGAGGCAGCAAGCCAGGAGCTGAGGGCCCTGACCCGGGCACACCAGAGGGCCACCACCAGCTGTCCCAGCACTGGAGTCAGCAGGGTCGTCCGGGGAAGCCACACCAGGTAAGTGCCATCACCGTCCCTACCCTGAGGGTGCGGTGGGGAGGGAGACCAGGGACTGCGCGCGTGGCCCTTGCCTACCACGGGAGCTGAGGGCCCTGACCCGGGCACACCAGAGGGCCACCACCAGCTGTCCCAGCACTGGAGTCAGCAGGGTCGTCCGGGGAAGCCACACCAGGTAAGTGCCATCACCGTCCCTACCCTGAGGGTGCGGTGGGGAGGGAGACCAGGGACTGCGCGCGTGGCCCTTGCCTACCACGTATCACGCAGCAACCTGTGCATGTGCGAGCACGTGCCATGCCATCCTTGGGCAGGTGGCTCCAGCTGTGTGACACCCAGGGCCATAGCCTGATAGGCACACATGTGTGTGAAGAGACCTGACGCACTCTTGACCTCGAGGTGGGACACAGTAGAACGCCCTCCCTTCACACCCCCCCTCTACACAGAGGCAGGGGACATCTCCCCCCACCTCAGCCGCACTATACACCGCACAGGGGCATGGGTGCGGTCTCGGGGCACCTCCCACTCCCAAGATTAGCCCAACATTCCAAACATGGCCTCTGTGCCAGCACAACGGCTCTGACGGTGCAGGGCATGGTCATCCTCACCTTGCAGAGGGGGAGCTGGGATTCACCAACTGTGTTCTCTGGGAGAACTGACCACTTCTCTTCTTTCTCCACAGCCGCACCAGCTGCACGTGCAGGCCGCACCACCCCGCCCGGGACATGCTCCCACAGCTGAGGGCTCCACAGGACCACCGCAACACTGCAGGGGTACCATGACCAGCACCTGGCAGCCCTGCAAGCCCAGACCCGCATCATAGAGCAGCAGGCACAGGAAGAACGGGAGTTCCAGCGGCAGCTGCTTGCCCAAGGTCATGCCATCTGTGCCCATCTGCAGACCATGGTGCAGAGTGTGCTGCTCCCATGCCTGCTGCCCCCCCAGCTACTGTCCCTCCTCTCCCTCCTTCTACTGATCTCACCTCTCCCTCCTCAATTTCCACACACCACACCTCAACCTCCACACCCGCCTCCCCATCCCCCCAGGGACGCCGAGGCCCCCGCACCCACAGTGCTGGAAGACATGTGGCCTGGCAAGACTCCCACCCCTGAACCCTGAGCTTCCCCTCCCCCTTCTTCCCCTTGCTTCCCCCTTCCAGCTCCCTCCTCCCAGTTTTCCCCCTCTCTTCTCCCACACTCTCTCCTGCCTTCTCCCACCTCCTTTCCCCAGTCTCCCCAGAGGCTCATCCTCCCCCACCCAGTTGTGTTAAATAAAGAATTTATATTTTTGAAAATACGTGTATTTTATTTGACATTAGGAAGGAAGGCTAGCAAGGGGTAAGTGGAAGGACGTGAGGGAGGAATGAGGCACGAGCCCCCAGTGGGGTAAACCGGGGAGACTGTTAGTGCTCTTCGGGGCGGAAGCTCTCCTGCAGGGCCCCCTGGATACTGACAGCCCCCTGATGGACCTCCCGGATGGCAGCCTGCAGAAAGTGCAGCCAGGCTGATGGCAACGCGTCCACAAGATGCACCAGAGTGCCCAGGGGCAGCTCTGTCTCCATGTTGCAGAGTGGTAGAGTGTCCCAAGTGAGGGCAACCAGAACACTCCAAGACACAAATGCTTTGCTGTCCCTCATCGAGGTAAACAAGAAGAGACACCTGAGAACCTGCTGTCCAGGATGGGGGGTAGGGACCCTTTTAAGCATGGACCTCAGATAGCCGCAGGCAGCAGCCCCACACAGGAAGTCCTGACCTGGTGCCCTGCCAGAACTGGTTCCGGCCAGCCTTAACTCCGATTCAGAGTCCACTCAGTGTGGACGCGCTATTTTGAAATAGCAAAATGTTATTTCAAAATGCATTTTCTGTGTAGATACGTTAATTCGAATTAACTATTTCAAATTAAGTTAACTCAAATT